TGGTGTATTCCGTCTCCTTCGCTGACTCCTAGGTATTTATAAGCTTCTTGTTCCAGTTCCCTAATCTTTGCGACAAAATCTAAATCTATTGAATGTGTTTCTGTAAGTCTCCCTTTCTTGAATGTTACTTTTGCACATTTATCTAATCCGAAATCCATATCGTTGTCACAACTGAAACATTTTACAGTATTGAGGAGACCCTTCAACTCATTGTAGTTTTTGGTAATGAGTTTGATATTGTCCATGTAGAGTAGATGATTAAATACTTTCTTGTCTACTTCGTATCCATAGCTATTATTGCTTAGTTCATGCGAAAGGGGGATTAAGGACAGACAGAAGAGAAGGGGCGGCAGGGAGTCTCCTTGAAAGATTTCTCGTCGGATATTCAAACAATTGGAAGTAGCAGTACCTTTGCTGTGATTTAGGTAGAATGTGGTTTTCCACAGTTCCATGATATATTTAAGGAAATTTACTATTATCGAGGAGACTTGTTACTTTTCCAAAGCCTTAAGATTCAACAGTGTGTTACACTATCAAAGGCTTTGCGGTAATCTATCCAAGCTGTGCTGAGATTTCTATTTTTTCTCCTGTAATTTTGCAGGATGATTTTATTTATCAGCAGTTGATCTTTTTAACTATATGAATCTCTCCGACATCCCTTCTATTCCAGGGAAAGAATGATGTTTTCGTCGATAAAAGAGCTAAGTACATTTCGCCCGGACAGTCGTGATCAATTTATATGTGGTGGCCAGATATGTTATTGGCCTATAATTGTTTGGAAATTGTTTCATTAGTTTTTGGTAGGAGATATGTAATACATTCAGTGGGCCATTCTGGAATTTCATTGAACTTATTAATTAGCAGTGATAAATATTTTCCGCAAGAGATTTATGAATTGATGACAAATGATAGAACCAGAAGTTGGGTACCTTGTCATTTCCTGGTGATTTCCATTTTGGGAATTTTGTTAGACCTTGCCTAATATTATTCTTGGTTATATTTTCCTTTCTTGCACAGGTTTATCGTTTATTCTTTCACGGGTTAAAACTACTTATCATTATTATTATTATTATTATTATTATTATTATTAGTAGTAGTAGTAGTAGTAGCATTGTACTATGATTTATACAATTTGGTGTTCTCATCTTTATTATTATTATTTACTAGACTTAGCTTAGTTTGGGCACAAAGCCACGGGTATGGAATACTCAGTGGAAATCGAACTCACTACTGAGTTGTAATAATTAACCAGAATAGTCTCATTAACCATTACTTCATTCCCAGGTAACATCTTTTGTTATTATCTTACACGTTCATGTCTACTATTCGTCCATGCATTGAATGTTGCCGTCATATCTGGTCTGATGCTTTTGCTTTATATTTAAAGATTCTATATAAAATACAAAGAAGAATTTGCAATATTATTGATATTGATCTGGCATCTTGGCTTCAGTAACTTTCCCACCGCCTAACGTAGCATCCTTGTATATTTTCTACAAATACTTTCCGGCCTTTAGCTTTCCGGTCAACTTTGATCTTTAAAATTTTAAATGCAATATCAATCATTTTCTTCTGTTATTTTAATTCCTCTTCTTTTATTGTTCTAATTCCTTAATAATGTTTTCTTTATCTCATATTCTCTCACGGTCAGTGACCCCTTCCGTCTTTATTGTCTTACTTGTGGTGAAATGATTGTGAATGGGTGCTATGAATGAAATTTCAAATTTGATTCACTCTCAAATATCTTGTAATAAATTGAATTTCTCACATCATAAGTTTCATAAAATAAGGATGGCTTAACTACATGCGCTGAAACGTCAGAAATGTAAATAAGTTATATACGTATGTTGGTTGATCAATGTACGTATATACGACATGTCGTTGCATTTGGAAAGTTTCAGGATGTGTGCATGTGGCATAATAGATAGCGGCTTGGAATGAGAAATCGGAGAACCGAGTTCGAATTCAAGTCGAGTTCGTTACATCCACTTACGCACAAATACCCTTGAGAAAGGTTGAGATCCACTTCTTCTTCCCCAGCTATGGTTTAAACAGTAGGACTTGTATCTGGAAAAAAAACGTAGTTATTTTCTCCCACAAAAAATGCTAATACAATATTTATTCATAAAAAAGGAAAGAATTATTCTTACTGTCCAAAATATATTTCGACTTTAAATAACCTACAAAAGGTTGATAAGTCGTGAAAAAATTCAATCAACATGGTGAGCTGTACATCTGCCCTATTATAATTGGCAGAACATTGTATGTAAGTAGATATTTACCCGTACGCCAAAGCGAACGAAATGTGATACAAGGCCAAGTATAAGTGAGAACCCATGGGTACACGGACTGGGAAAAATTGCTCAAGCCCCTTTAGCATTTGTGGGGGGGGGGTCATTAGTAAACTGTACATTGTTATTATTCCCGATAAATTTATAATATGAAAAACATTTTTACATTTTTGACCGCCAAGCAAGATTTTTTTGAAAATTTTGTTAATTAATATTACTTTCCAAAACACAGTGCGACGTCATATCAGAAAATATTTTGTCAGCTGCCTCAGAAAAAAATGTATACGTACACACACACCACGCACACATACACACACACGCGCGCGCGCACATATATGTGTGTGTGTGTGTATATTTTTATGTGTATATAATTATTTTAAAAAAATATGATTCCATCGCGACACAGAAATTATTGTTTCGAAACTTGACTTAAGTCCTAAAGTTTAATTTCAATATTAAACTTAAAATTTAGAGTCCAGTTTCATTCACAAGCGATGTTTATTCTAAAAATAGCTTGAGAATGGAATCATATTTAAAAAAAATATTATAATTTAAGCTCTACTTCTGTATCGAGCACTGTTTTTTAAAAATAAAAAATAGAAATACTAAAGAACTTTTAAACATTAATCTGACTATCCTTTCCTATTACATCAATACATACACACACACACACGAACGCACACATATATTCAAGCAGGTTAGGTTAAATAATTTAGACATATCATAGTTTTCGTTGTGATCCTTTCAAGTTCGCGTATTAATTTCTTGATAGCCTTAGAAAATTGATTAAGAAAAATACCAAAATTTTCTTTCAAATAGTTTTTATTTTCCCAAGTACTTTCAATCTCATCTGAGACCATCTTCCGGAGGATAAGTTGTCTGTGAGTATGTATATTTGTTCCTGTAAATTCAAAACATTTCAACTGTTTCTTTTTTAACGCTTATGCAACATTCTAGATTTCAAAGTTCAAAGTTCACGTGTTTTTCTTTTTTTTTTTTCATTTTTGCTCATACACATAATTACGTCTACCTGTTTAATGTTGGTAGTTATTTTAACTTTAAGACCTAAACCCTATAAGTCCCTATGGATTTTCTTAATACGGTTTACCTTAAGTTTTGTAGAATCCTTAACTATTAACAAGCCATCATCTTTATATAATACTGTCAGTATCTACGCAATCATAGGAACTTAAACTATATAAAATAAATAATCCTACCAGGTCAGAGGCTTCAGCAGAATTTAATGAAGCCATTGACTTGTCGAATTAATCATTGGAAGTCTTTTTAGTCCACTGTTCCTCGTAGTAGATCAGAATAGATTTAAAAAGAATATCCAGTTCCTTATCGGAAATATTTGAATATCTCCAAGGCCAAAGTGAAAAGATCTTTGGAGATGGATGGGTAATAATCAATGATATTGAACTGTATAAAAGTACACTTATCCTTATTTTGAATTCTTTTGAACCAGTTAGTAATGTCCACAGTATTAACCCACTGCAAAAGTCCAAGGGTACGTTTAATAGACTGGTTAGTATCATAATTTATCAGTGATGAATTTGTTAATACAGTTAATTTTATCAATCTGGTTAAAAGTTGTAGTGTCAATTTCCTCAAAGATTTTAGTAAATTTATTTTTAATTAAAGTGTCATAATCCTTATAAAATCGGATTAAACATAAATTTTACCAGATTTATTTATATCCTTAACAATATTATCAAGATTCTTATGAAAAAAAGTTTTTATTCTTATGAAAGGTTGATCCGTTTATGATTCCCAGTAGATCATTTTCAAAACCAAACAGAGCCTCAGTAAGTGGTGCTGTCTTCAAACTCTTAAAAAATAGTTTTCGTAGTTATTAGGTTGGTGCAAAAATAATGACGTAATAATGTCGTTTTTTAACGTATTTTTAACGTCAAAAAACGACATTATTACGTCATTATTTTTGCACCAACCTAATATATTAGTGGTTCTAAGCGAGATGAAAAAATGGTCTTTTCATCTCATTCTTCTAATAAAGTACGTATGGATGTATGATGATAATGGTGACATTAGCCGTTTCCTTATACAGACACATTCGGCATTCATTGACCGAGCAGCCAGTCCTACTGTCGGTTGAAATTCATAAGATCTTTCTCTTAAAACACTTCTTCAGGAAGAATAGTTTTTTCAAGTCTAGTGTATAACTTTATTTATTGATTCAAAGGGATCAATAACGGTTCGCATTTTTATCGAATACACAAATCTCTACGTATAATAAATTCAAACTTTAAATTAATATGAAATCACAAACTTTTATGCGTATCAGATCATTTTAAAATATACCGGACGAAAGTAATTTAAAAAAAAAATATAATAACTACATTTAGCTAACAAAAAGGAAATTTTTATGTATTTTAATCATTATTTCGTGAATTATTCCGACTGGTATCCTCATCACTATATTTCAGTCAGTGCTCTCTTCGGATATAAACAGGTGCATATCGAATGTAATAATTTTCACTGTTTCAAACATAGTCTCTCTTTATCTTTTTTTCTCAGCTTTCATTTCCTCAACTTTCGTCACTACTCGATATGGTATTATTAACTGTTACGAACGACAAGCATTCGTGCTATGATTACACTAGATTGAAAAATGAAATTACTTCATTTCAAAAATTCAAATAAATATTATATTTTTTCATTGTTATTTACAACAGATTCAAAATGAAATCAGATCCTCATGAAGAGACTAACATAAGAAAAACTTTTTATATGAAGTGACTTAGATAGATAGATAGATATTAAAGTTAACTTAGTGTGGCATAAGGTCGAAGAATAGAAGGCACATAGTGATGACTAACCTATCCGATTCCAATCAATCGTTTAATGGACGGCAGTTCCGAGTCCCAATGATCCGCAATTGCTCTCATCTCATCTAAGGGGACAAGTGAAAATACAACGAAGTCTGGTCACTAAAGATTCGTTTCTCAGAAAAACATCTCCATTACACTAAAAGAAGAGGGTTTATGATATGACGCCTACAGCGATATGCCAACAACAGGGTAATATTTGACATAAAAAGGTGCTTTCGATTGCTGCATTAAAATGTATCCACTTATCACATCTAATTATTTCGGAGGAGATGATTAAATTCCATATCGGTCTACTTGAATACTTCTCAAGTTGTCGCTTTATGACAGTTGGAATAGCTATACATGAACAGTTAGATAGATAGATAGATAGATAGATAGATAGATAGATAGATAGATAGATAGATAGATAGATAGATAGATAGATTATTAATAAATTGAAATAGAGATACAGAGATAGATAGATACATACATACATGCATAGAAAGAAATGAACGTGTTGAAATAGAAAGATATATACTGAAAAGATTGAGATAGATAATTATGTAGATCAATATGTAGATAGATAATGACCATATTGATATAGAAAGATAATGAAGAAGGAGACATAGGTAGATGATGAAGAAAATAGATAGATAGATAGATAGATAGATAGATAGATAAAAATAAATTGAAATAGATAATGAACAGAGGTAGATGGAGAAACTGAGATAGATAGATAGATAGATAGATAGATAGATAGATAGATAGATAGATAGATAGATAATGAAGAGATTAAAATAGATAGATTTAAAGATACATAGACAATGAAGAAACGTATATAACGAGGACACTGAGATAGAGAGATAGATAATAAAAGAGATTGAGATAGATAGATACATTCATAGATACATAAGGAAGAAAAGGAAATAGATAAATAGACAGACAGATAGATAGATAGATAGATAGATAGATAGATAGATAGATAGATAGAGATAGAGAGAGAACAGATAAAAGGATACATAGATAGACAGATGTATAATGAAGAGAAGGAGATAGATAGATAGATAGATAGATAGATAGATAGATAGATAGATAGATAGATAGATAGATAATGTAGAGACTGTGATAGATAATGAAGAGACTGGTATTGGTAGATAGATTGATAGATAATGAAAAGACATAGATAATGAAGATATTGAGATAGATATATAGATACATAGACAATGAACAAACAAAGATAGATAGATAGATAGATAGATAGATAAATAGATAGAGAGATAGATAGATAGATAGATAGATAGATAGATGGGTATAGAGAGACAGATAAGGAAGAGACAGAGATAGAAGGATACATAGAGAGATAGATGAATAATGAAGGGACTGGGGTAGACAGATAACAAAGGGACTGATAGATAGATAGATAGATAGATAGATAGATAGATAGATAGATAGATAGATAGATAATGAAGAAAATCTAATATATCTACCTATCTCAGTCTCTTCATTATCTATCTACATTACGTATATATGTCTATCTCACTCACAGATAAAGATTGATATGAAGATAGTTAATGAAAATACTGAGATAGATAGATTAATGGAAAATGAACAGGGTAAGATTGATAGATATAGACAGAATGATTAGACTGAGATAGATAAATAGATAGATAATGAACAGTCTGACATAGATAGATGAATAGATAGTTTTATATATATATATATATATATATATATAATGAACAGGCTGAGATATATTCATATATAATGAAGAGACGGATAGATAGATAGATAGATAGATAGATAGATAGATAGATAGATAGATAGATAGATAGATAATGAACAATCTGAGTAGATAGATACATAGATAGATAATGAATTGACTGTGATAGAAAGGTAGATATAATTAGAATAAGATATGAATAGCTTAAGAACGAATTGAATATTGAGATTCTTGATTGAGAAAATGTATTGAATGGAATAAATCAAATGAATTTATGATTGAAAATCGCTTGAACAAAAGACTTTGGCGAAAAAGATGAAAAAAGGTAGTAGATTAAAAAGAAAGAATGAAAGAAAATCGATAGAGAGGAGAAAAGATTAAATTCGTAATTTTAAAGGGTAGAAATAAAACTGAAGGACTAGTATAAACCAGGAAATGATTGAGTGAAAAGTTTTTGGCGATTTAGGACAAAATAAAGAGGCAAAACGTGCGTAAAACAGAAAGTGAAAGTAATAAGTAACCTGAGCTTTATTTTAAGAAGTTATAATCAAATAATAACTGAATAGAGAAAATGGATTTGTGTGTGTGTGCGTACGTGTGTGTGTGTATGTGCATATGTGTAAAAGAGAACGAGAGAAATGTAGAAAACGAGAGAGATAAAATAGAAAGGGAGATGGCGTGAAAGAAAGAGAAAAGAAAAAGAGGATTAATAAAAAAGATGAGAGCAGAAAATCAAATATTGGAAAGAGGTAGAATTTTTTTTTTTTTTTAGTTAATGTCGATAATTTAATTATCAGACATACAGTAAGAGAGAAATGGAGGTAGAAAGAAAAGGAATCTATGGAAGATAGTGTATGAAGCAGGTAACCTAACCAGTTGGAGGAATTACAGGAACGGAGTTCGGCGGAAGGTGCATTTGGCAAATGTCATAAATGCTCCTGTCCACATCTAATGAGAGGCGATCCTTGTTGTGTGTGTTGATATTAAATATTTAATGGTGGGAAGAAGAAAAAAAAAACTCGTTCAGCAGACAATGATCAACGAAGAAAATATGGGTATTATTCATTTGCCAGGTTACCAGGGACACCCACTCGCATATACATAAAGACATATGTGTAATATGTGAAAATGTTTGTGCCAAACATTTGCTCATATGTCTAAATACACATGATTACTATCACGAAGAAGTACATATTTAGACCACATGTTGTAGAGCATCGATTCGCATACCGATCTAATAAGATCGGTATGCGAATCGTAAGTGAAAATGAAATTGACTCTGAATTAAAATTCGAGCAATGTATTTGACGTAAGACTGTTAACACAAGTAGATGATATATACACGGACTGTTCTGTCGATGTCGATATCGATATATAAAGGCTTAACAGTTAGCTTTAAAAGAGAATCAATAAACCACTGCCAGAGATGAGTGAATGTTTTTGTAGAGCCAATCATACTTTTCAGCAGAGCTGAGAAATGATGAGAAGAGGAAAGAGAGGCTAAATAAGCGAAAACGATATTGCGAAGAATGGAAAAAAAATGCTCCGAACTTAACGATGAAAAGGTTTTATCGTCAAAGGTCTTTGTTATTGTCGAGTGGAACTACTAAAATGATTTTGGGGGGATTGGAAATTAAATTCAAGTCAGATTTAGAAGCCATCTAATGTTTATGATAGTTTTAAAAGCAGAACGCCTTGGAGAAATTAAACTTGAAGTAATTTATAGGGTTTTGGATCTTTTAAAATTATGTGTTGAATTGTATTGGTTGGATGGTGAAGTGAAAACATTTTTAAAGCATTTTTTAAAAAGCAGTAGTGATTTCTTTTCTCCTTCGTCGCTTTTACGAAGGGCGAAGGGGTAGTGATCGATGAATTACTTTATTATGTTATGAGGGTTACTTTATTATGTTATGAGTGTTAGATATCGACTGTGTCCTTTTTGTCGGTTGATTGTTCGATAGATTCGTACTCAATGTCACTATTGAGATCGATTTTGGACGTGGACCACCCCGATGTTGGGTGAAGGGAACTTTGATCCACCGATTTGGTTGCTGCTCATAGGGAGTCGAGATGGTGTGGTGTTAACCTGTAAATTTTCCACGATGTGAAATGTTTTTAGAAACAATAAAGGAAATATTGGATCTGAAGAAGTGTTAATCAAGGAAGATTACAGGAACATTTATATTGTGGATTTAAGATGAGGTATATTTTAGTAATAATGGCTTATTTATAATGAGGTGGATTGTTTGACTCTGGTGAATGAGCTATGAAATTTAAAGGGACAGATCTCACGGGGACGATTTACAGTGAACATTGAAGGCAAGATTATCCAGGATCATATTAAGAGTTAACGATGCTAATTGAAACATGTAAGTAAGAAGGATGGGATGGGTGGATTCGGTGTGTGACTGTGCCAGATTCATTAGAATAAACCATCCAGCAAAATAATAGTAGAAATTGATTGGGAAGGATGGAGGTGTGAACGGTACGCCACGAGGGACGGACAAACTTACTTATTGGTGCTGACGATGGACTGCACAAGGGCCCGTGTGCGTCCGGCGGTAGTATCAGTGAGACACGACCTTGGGGCGAAAGCGCCACACACATGTCTGGAACCAATCAACTTGCATAAATTTGATTAGCAAGAGGGATAAATTGAAATCGGAAAAACAAATTGAAAGGTAAGAAATAGGGGAAATACAGTCCAGAAGAAAAAAAGAAAATGGCTGGTATGAAGGGACTACTGATGAGGATGATGTGGATGATGGTAGGAGCCTGGGCGTACAGCCAGATACGATTTTCAAGAAATCAGGTGAAGTGATAATAACAAAGTCAAAATGGTTGGCCACTTTTGTGATAGATTTGAATCCATACGAGCTATCATTGAACAGATTGGAAGTTGAGCTAAGTACGCTGGGTATAGCCTGGGAAAAACATTAGATTGTTGTACTTCCGGAAACTGGAGACGGCTATAATGGAAGCCCAGTGGAAAGATATGAAAAGTTACTTAAAATGAATTGGGCTGTTGCAAACAAAAAAAAAAAAAAGAGCAGTAGTCCCTATTGTTGAAAAAGCACTGAGTGTCCTGTTCGGAACGGTGACTGAAGAAGATGTTAAAATTATAAGAAAACAACTAGGAGAAGTGGAAAAGGATCAGAGAGTTTGGACCAAAGTGGCCAGAGAAAGCTTATCGTTATTGAATGTGACAAGATTAGAACTAGCGAAGAATAGGGCAAGTATCAATTGGCTAATAAATAACCTGCGAGAATTGAGACAGGAAGTAGCTAATTTCTCTGAGGCCGTGACAGCTGAATTACAAGAGTTTAGTGGCTTTGTTCAGCAGTATTTCCAATTGATGACCATTGCTAATAAGGTGCGACAGACTAGTTAATCCTTGACGATTTTGTTAAAGTATATGAGAGCTCCACTGGATATGTTATCATTGGAACATTTGTCCCCAAGCATAATGATCCCTGGTCACTTGAAGGAATTATTATTGAAGATACAAGCTGAGTTACCCATCATTTAAGGTTACCGGTGGTCCCAACTGAAGAGTTATAGAAATATTACAGTGAACTAGGTTATGTTGCCTTGTTAGAAGATACGAAACTATTGGTCTTTATGCTCATTCCATTATTGGACAGAGAAAGTCTTTTTGAAATATATAAAGTAATAAACTAACCGGTTCCCTACGGCAGGCAGCGAGACGGCCAACGAGCCCGGTAGGTAGCGCGCGCCGCCGCCGCCGAAGGCAGCCACCAGTAGCGCGATCAGGCTGCCGGTCTTCACCTTCGTTCGTCGTCGCTGGACGTGTGTCGTTCGCCTCGGCCGGGCCGCCGTAAAACTAATGCTCTTCGTTCGCCGTAAAACTAATGCTCTTCGTTCGCCGTAAAACTAATGCTCTTCGTTCGCCGTCGCCGGACGAGCGTCGTGCGCCTCAGCAGTGGTTAGCGTCAAAAGTTAACGGCCCAAGTGCCGATTTTCGATCTTTTGGAGAAGATTAGGACTTAAGGGTAGTTGCAAGATACCGAATTGAGATGTAGTATATAGCTTTGAATTCAGCTAGAACGAAATTCATGATGTTGACTACAGAAGAAATGCCAGCTTGATGCTTTAGGGGCGTGTACCACTTTAAGCTCCATTTATGTGACTGAGAGTCACAGATTGAGTGTGCTTAAACTGTTTAATGGCCACAAAGAAGGGATTAAGGAAAATTGTCAAGTAGAGATATTGACAAACACAGTGTTGCCACAAGCTATCACTATATCTGATGGGGTCTGGGCTGTTGATGCCCAGAAGCAGATTGATCTGTTCTGAGTATGTGGTGGGGAGAATCCATTAGAATGTCGAAGGTAGAACCCCCATTGTCCTTAATAGTGTTACCCCTGGAATGTTCGGCATTTGGAACATCTATCTCCCCACACCCATATTATCAGACCGAAGAAAATTTTGAGAAAAAAAGATTCAATTATAAAGTTAATTGAAAGGAGTTTAAGTAATTGGACAGAACTGTGGGAACCAGTGGTAGAGAAATTCCCCGAAGTTACCTTAAAGAAGATGCCTAAGTTATTGAAACCAGCAGAGAAAATTAGTCTGGATCAATTGAAAGACAAAATAAATGTCTTGGGATAAAGGAGTACAGTTTGGAACGATAATAAACTGGTCAGTATTGATAGGTACCTTGATAGTTATTGCTTCTAAAGTGATGGCAATATGAAAAATGAAAAGGCATAGGAAGAAATCAATTAATAAGGTTTTGGCGAGCATGCGTCAACTCGAGGATGCAATGCCATGTTGTGTTCTTTAGCCAAACATATCGAACCCAGACGAAGAAGAAACCAAGTTGAATTCAGAGAAAAAACTGGAAGCAGATTCAACACCTGTCGAAAAGAAACGAAAACCTCCTATTGTGGAGAGAGAAAAAGTGACCAAAAAGGACAAAACAAAAACCAACAAAAAAAGGTGTCAATTGAAACGAAGGAGTAAGGTGAGATGGGAGCCCTAGGGTAAAGACGAATAAATTTTAAAGGGTGGTGCGAAATACATGATTGGAATACACTTGCACATCATTGAAAAAAGAAGAAAGACTTAAAATTCAACTGCATGACGAGTAAAACAATTGTGTGGAGAACAATGCATAATCATAACTGAAGATGAAGAAGAAAGACTTTTTAAAATTCTACTGAATGATTAGTTGCAGAAAAAAGATGCATGACAAAGAATTTTTGTTAATTTTCTTTTGGGGGCTTGATTGTCATATACAGATAAATGACGGGAAGGGTAAGGGAGAATGTGACACGATGTGACACAGGCCAACGGAAAGAAAAAGGTTAAGTTAAAAATATAAACTTTCAACCAAACGAAAAGGGTTAAAGAATAGAATGATAGACAAACTGAGAGAAAAAGTGAAATTACTTTTAATTATATAGTCTATTTTTTTCAGCGGAGACGGCTGGAAGAATAGAAGAAAGAGGCCATATCGTAAGGTTGGGCTGACAGTTAATTGATGACGCAGCCTAAATAGTACCAGTTACGAAATCTGAAAGATAAAATTTGGTAATTTTAAAGACAAAGCAGAATTAAAAAAAAACTTATTTATTTTGTCTATGAAAACTGGAAATTGTAAACAAGACGAGAAAATGGGATTACTTTATGTAAGAATCCAAACCTAGGAATCTTGGAGTGTGATGACCCTGGCAAAATGGAGAGATAACTGACCCGAGGAAACAGCTAGTAAATTTCTGATTGTCTTGACCAAGCCGGGAAAAATTTGCTGACGAGAAATTAAAATGATAATTCTAATTAATGACCAGAAACGAAGCCACAAAATGCGGTTTGAGAACCAGATTTGTCAAACAGACAACCGAGGTGACAGGCAAAGATGAGATATTAAGAGAGAAGGAAGACGGAGGAATTGTCTACGCTCATTGGGAGGTGCTTGCAAGAGGCACAAATAAGAGATGGAAGGAGTTATCGGGATGGATCGATACACCGTGACCGCTACCCATAGGAAAAGGGATCTCACGAAATTTGGAGATATAGTTAATTTTCCAGAGCCAGACAACAAAGGGGCTCTTGTTGTAAGATAGGGGAAACATCGGGTCCCCTAACCAAGTCGACCCCTGTGCCAGTTTTGGGTGAAAGTCAATATAAGCAGAATGCTGAAGCGGCCAAGCCAGTTCCAGTGCGCAGACGACACGCGACAACTACTCTGCCGGATTCCACGTGACTTGCTGCCAGAGAGAACCTCTGCCTTGAACCTTGTTCCAGACTTAGCTAAACTGAGCAAAGTGTCACGATAGAATTCAAAGTGGGCGGGTTAATATTTCTGTACAAAGAACAATAAAAAACACATAGAAAAAGAGCCTGAAGAAATTTCCGTCTTTTCTCTATTTCGTCTGCAAGAACGTTTTTGTTTTTCTTTTGTAACATAGCTTTGTCGGGATCGAACCAGTGCAACAGTTGCTGACGACAACTCGATCTGTGCCAGTTCCATGATGAAACAATACAACGTGAGGCTTAAAGAGGCGCAGATCAGAACGGCCGATTCCAGCGGCCGGTGGTAGCATTGACTAGGGAGCAACCGGCAAGAAGGGTTACACCCACGTTAAACGTTGAAGACAGACTAGCCACAAATGTACACCAATGACAAATGTAACCTAGTCCACATGGCAACACAGCACCATCTACCGTAAACTTTCTTTATACTTAACTCAAAAACGAAGGATTTGCAGTCATATGTTTATATAGAATTTTGTCTTTGTTTTGGTGTAAGGAACATGCCCCCAAAGTTTGCATAAGTATTTTTGATTCACCCTATCTATCTATCTATCTATCTATCTATCTATATGCTAACAAAAATATAAGAAAATTTTCAGATACATTTTGCTAGCATTATTTCTACTTAGGGATCAATTTAATGTATAAAAGCACCTGTGTGCATTTTAAATACCTTCATGAGAACAATATTCTTTTGCAGACTTAAATTGTTTTAATATTTGGAAACTTGCATTAAAAAGAAGAATATATGTGTGTGTGTGTGTGTGTAAACATATGCGCACATACATATACCTACACATATTTTATCAAATATGTGCATACGCACATATGCACACACATATGTATAATCACACACGCACATGTCTACACAAACATACACATACAGTTGAAATGGCTAGATGTGACCCTAAGTTCTATGCTAACAGTTTCTTCTCTCACACTTCTGGCTTATGGAACTCTCTTTCAGATTCTAGTTTTCCACTAAACTTTGATATTCAAAAATTTAATTGCAATGTCAATCATTAACGATCATGACTCTCCACAACACATTTGCCTTGATAAAATCTATCAGAGATAAATTTTACTTTTGTCTTTATTCATATATATATATATATATATATATATATATATATATATATATATATATAATTATTGGTACCATGAGTGAAAAAACGGGTCGGATTTACTACAAAGTATGAAATTACGTAATATCCAACTGCAAGGGAGTCTCTTTGACCCGACAACCTCACTTTATTCATGCATATATATCATCCTTCCTGATGACTAGCTTTCAACTTGGTATCTACGCTGACGACACAAGAATTTACTCCTACGGAGATAGTAAAGGCTATCAATCTGACAAGGTCAAAATGGCAGCCAAAACAAGGTCAAAATGTCCAAAACGACCAAAAGTCCGTAACTAACTGGGGCCAAATATGGCTTGTTAATTTTGACGCCCCCAGAACTAAACTTTTCTATTAATCATCCGAGACCCCGCTCTCTGCCTTTCATTAGCATGGCTGATGCTATCCTCCAGGAAAATGACTCATTGCGCCTTCTAGGGTTCACGCTCTCTGCTGATATGAAGTGGAAAGACTAAATTTAGGATATTAAATCCATTGGTAGGTCAGCCGCTAAGAAAGTCGGGCGGGACAATTTTTCTTTCCAGAATTTATCTTATATATCTATAAGTCTACCATTCTTTCATGCTTAGAATATTGCCGCTACATAAGGTCCGGTGTCCCTGCTATTTACCTTGGACTCCTTGATAAGATCCAAAGAAGAATCTGCAATATTATTGATCCTAATCTTGTGAGTCAGCTGCAGTCATTTTCCCACCGGTGTAAGCTTGTCTCTCTATGTCTTTTCTATAAACATTTTATAGTAATTTTCGAATGAGCTCTTCGCTATTGTAACTAAACTGGAGTCGAGATCTCATCAATTTACAGTCGAGGTGACTAGATATAGCCGTAAATTCTTGTGGAACTCCCTTCCGGCTCCATACTTTCCAGCCAACTTTAATCTGCATCTTAAAATGCAATGTCAATCGCTATCTACTGTCCACCAGTTTACTCTCTTCTCTTTCTGCTCATCATTAATATTTCTGTCCCAAATTCTTACACAGCCTGTAACCCCTTGCGTCTTAGTTGCTGTACTACGTTGCTTGGGGTGATTCCGATAACTATATATATATATATATATATATATATATATATATATATATAATCATCCACAGACAGACTGTTTCGCTGTATCACAGCTCATGAGTGTGGCTAGACGTCCGGTTGCCTCTCGCTAGGATCGAAACCCGGATGTTTTATATACGTATGCATGTATGTATTATATATATGGCAGATGAAAAATATTTCATTTTCGTTGACATGATTTTTTGATTGTTTTTCAGTAATTTCACTCTTAGGGCATTTTTTTCTCTCTCTGGTCAGGATGTGGTCGATCATAGCTCTCCAAAGCTTCCTGTCTTTTTTTCAGTCTCAGTCATACTTTTATGACCCTTTTTTTCTCTTTTTGGTAATTGTTCCCTAATCCATTTACACAAACTTTTGA